TTTTTTATTGGATGAAGATTAGTCATCCAATAATTGAAATGTTTACTAACCATCTCCCTTTATTAAGTGATTGTTCTGTAGAAATTTTTCACAGTATTGTTTGACAATGTACCCCTAAGTTTTTCACAGCTGAACAGTTGCAATTGGAAGCACGTTTTATTTTTCAACGCTGAGAAGATAACGAGTTTCATCAACAGTTTGTAAATTTTGTAAAATATCCATATACACCGATACAATTGGACATGCTTTCTAAAAAATGCGCCAAATTACTTTTAGATAAATTTACTAGGATATATCAAATGCGAAATCAGTATCCTTTGATTATTGAATCTTTGTCTGATAGTATTAACACATACAAGCTTTTTTCTTTAAGTTATGAAGTAACCAACCGTCATCTTCCAAGGGGCTTCGTTACCTCCAAAAAACCCAATACTGCTATCTTATATGATTACATAAATTGCAACAGCAATTCATCCGATGGCAGTATTTTGGCATGCAGCCATGGCTATTATAGTCTTTGCTTGCAAGATAGTTAGTTTAAGTACTTCATATGTTTCGATTACCTTAAAGGTGAGGTTAAGAAAAAGATCAAGGCACTTATAACAAATTTGTTGAAGAAAAAAGTGAAGGTTAAAAAAGAATCCAATAAAAATAGAGAAGATGCGGGTGAAGATAACTGGAATAATTTAGGAGTAGTGAAAGATGATATTGTAGTAATAGAGAATCATTTAGAATTGACAAAAGAATTATTTCTTGTACTGTAAATTTATTAGATAATAAATTATTTTCTCTGTTCACATGATATTTATGATATAGTCTATTTTATTAATAAAAATTAATTATCGAAATTCACAATTTTGATTGGTTGATCATTTTAGGAATTTATCAAAAGTAATCTGTGGTTTGTGTAATGAGCACGGTCGCTCCTGGACCTTTTCCTGCTATTGTCTTTTGTCATTCTAATTCTGGATACTTTTCGACCAAATAGTTACCCTTCATATTTTATATGGGTTAAACGATTATATCCTCAAGTAATTAGTTATTTATATGGGCCACCCGAATTCATTTGGGTTATCTGAATTCATTCAGGTACCTGGGTTATCCAATTATATTCGGGTGACCCATTTTAGTTTTGGGTATCCAGTTGGAAAAAACGGTTGACCTGACGGGTCACGGGTAGAGATTTTTAAACTGGTTTGGAACCCTAATCGTGATGATCATGTGATATACAAAATAAAAATCATCTCTTCAAGTTTAGATTTTGTAAGGTAAAAAGACTCATAAAAGATAAGCTAATATCGTTAAACCTTGCTTTTCATAATCTGATTCAATATGACTAGAAATATATGAAAAGAAAGTACAAATAATCACTATGAACCCATAAAAGAAAGTTTTATTTGTTTAAACTCTATTTGTTTCATTTTTAATTCATATTCAGCAGATAATAACTTCATTCTCAATTCATGTTCAATAGTAGATTGCTTTATTCTTAATTTATGCTCGACATCCAACTGCTTCATCCTTAATTCATACTCAATATCCAACTGCTTCATTCTTAATTCATGCACAAGATTGATCTTTATCTCCATCTCACTGCATCGATCAAAATCAACCCTGGCATTGATCAGCCCTTGATCTAAGACTCAAACAACAAGTTGAATTGGTAATTGTTTTCAGGATAGAAAATCAGTGTGATTCTAGTTTCTCCATCTTGGGTATCTGAATTTGTTAATTATCCAGATATCAATACATAGTAAAAAAAAAAAAAAAAACCATAGTAAATTTCTTTGAAAAAATTATCTGATTTTGGGATGTGATCTCTTCCAAACAAACAAGCAAATTACAAAAAGACCAATCGAACGGTAATAAATAAACTAAAAGTTCTTTGAACAAGGTGATCTTTTCTAATAATATAAAAATTTCTGTAATCACATAATACGGACCATATTTTGAAAAAAAATACTTTCTAAGATCAATAGACATATTTCTTTAAACAATTTATATACGAAAAAAATATTTGTCAAGGTCAATTTTATACTTGAAAATCTCCACAAGTATCTCAACAGATAATAATAACAAACCCATTGATTAATAAAAAAAAATCATTAAAATTATTCAATAATATTTTTATATATTCATATTATAGATGCTGGTAAAATTAATTTCATCAATTTCACCAATAGTGGTGAAATTATTTAACCACATTTCACCATATTTCACAAGCATCTATAATTCATATAAATGAAAATCTATTTCTTATGCTAATCTTCCTATTCGATGGGCCAGAATTCCCCCTTTCTCCAACTCATATCTCATAACAATAATAAATAATAGACGAATGATTTGTCACGCAGATTAGATAGGTAAATTTTTATTATGAAATTTGAGTGATCGATATTTATATAGGCAGAGTGCTACAGAAAAGAGAGAATCGACAAATTCTCAAAAAATTTTTTTTTGCACAAATCAATTTAGAATAAGATTAGGTTCATTTTTTACTTAAAATTCAAAAATAGTTGTATTAATAAAATTTTGTAATATAGCTCTTTAAAGTTTATATTTTCTAATAATTTATTATAAAATTTATAACATAAAAATTGATCTTCTGAAGATCTTTTGTTTTGTTGATTTTTCTCTTTTCTGTAGCACCAAGCTCATATGATAAACATGTTTTTCATAGTAAATTGCAATGGTAGGCCCTTTTTATATATTATTTTCAGGGGTTCTCTAAAAAGAAATTGCACTCACAAGACTAGATACAATGGTCTAGCTACACAAATACTTTCTTGTTTTTTAGCTTTAACTGAGAAAAACAATAAACCTGAGAAGAATCATGTTTTCAAAAATAGTCTTTTATTTTACTTTTAATAGTATTGTTACAAGTGACTATAGCCTTCTTGTAAATATAGTACTTGTACTACAGCACATGGCAACAGGAATCTCAGAGACAACATAGAGAGATATAAAGTGGTATAAAAGTAGAATATTACTTCACTAGGGCAGTTTAGTATAGTTTACTTATAGTTTATTCAAAAAGCAAAAAGTATATATTTATTAATGATACAATATTTAAGATACAAGGCTATTAATAGATATCTGTGTCTAAAGAATCCTAATAATTAAAGATTGCAGAAAACTAATTCTAAAGCTATAGGAGAGCAAAAAGCTAGAGTTTATATACTTTTACAAATACTAAAAAAATGCTATTGTTATGCAAAATATAGATAATGTAAAAGGTATAAAAAGTATAAAAGGTATAATAGTACAAATATATAAAATATATAAAAGGTACAAAAGGTATATAAGTATAAAAGATATAAAAGATATAAAAAGTATAAAAGATATAAAAAATAAATCTCTAATTATCTGGCCAACTATTAGTCTATTCTTTATATATTATAGCTTGTTATAATTATAAAGATTTTTTGGATCTTGTAAAGGTATTTAATCTATTTTATAACATTTCTGTTTCTTTTATGAATAAACTCTATGAGTTAGCAATATTGAAAAGTCTTGGTCTAATAACATATTAAGAATACTAAGCAAAAGAGATTGGGTATAAAACAATTGTGACAATTTTCAATTTTGAAAGACTTGATAAACTTGTTCAGCATATTTCCAAATATTAGTAGTTCATCTGGGTTCTAGAAAGGCTCTAAGAGTTTTTCTAATTTTCTTGATAACTTTAAAATCTTTTTCAAAATCAAAGTGAAGTTTTTTTAAATAGTAACAAGCTTCTAGTATTCAAACTTGTTTTTCTTTTTGGTTTTCTCTAGTTTTTTAGTTTAAACAAGTAGTAATTTCAGTTACTTGATTTGTTTAAAAAGAGTTAACTAAAGGGTTAGCTCTAAAAGGAATATTAAAACTTCAAGTAATTAAATCTTTTAAAATCTTTTCTATATTTGTTTCTGTTACTAAAGCTTCTGGTATATTATCTTCCAGATAAACAAGATTATTAAGATCTGGCATTGGTAAGTATTCATTAAATAGATCATTTTGTGTCTAAGTTCCTTCTATTTAAATAGTTATTAAAATATTAATTCTATCAGTAAGAATAACTTGATTTCTGGTAATTATGAGAGTATTATTTGGAGATAAAGAGTTCTAATTCTAAAGAGAAATAAATTCTGTTAAAGCAGTGAGGGTTTTAGGAAGAAAAATTAAATTTTCTATATTGGTTTTAACTATTAGAGTAAAAAATTTCTAAATTACAGATAGAAAATTTAAATCTGTAACTCTATATATACTAAAATAAATTTATACTAAACTAATTTAAAAGTATAAAATATAAATAAAATATAAGCAAAATATAAATAAGAAATTGCTATTTCCACCATGGTTATATGAGATTTTTTATTTTTTTATTTTTTATTTTTTTTTAATATTAAAGTGACCACTTGGGCCCTTGGCACTTTATTAGTACAAGCAGTTAGGCCATATGTCCGAAGACTTGACTACATGTTACATCGGTATTACAAGAGTACAACTAGCCACACGTACAACTTTTGGTTATCTAATTTAAGTAGTCCATCCGAAGGATCTACACTAGCTGACATACCTATATCCTAACTAGGAAGCTATCTATTTAAACTCTTTGGTACCACCTCTGTCCCATGCTTCTTCCTAATATACCCTTTCAGGGTAATTTGCTGTTAAAGACCCTAAGACTTTAGCCAAACCAACACTCATTCCTTTTGAAACGGGGGTATTAATCCCTGTGGTAAACCTAACAGAATGGTACATGTCCCACACATGTGCTCACCTGCATATTCGGTAACATTTTCCTTAACTAGTACCTGCTGTACTGCCGTCACCCAGTTTGTATCTCAAGCCATCTTTGGATGCTGCCACAACCCAGTCCGTATTTCAAGCCACAACCTTCCTAATTTAGTTCACTGTTACTTACTCTTGCACTTGCAAGGTTCACAACAACTCCGGTACCCACATTCAAACCTTCTTCTTTCCTAGATTCTTTATCAGTTTCTTCCTTACTTCCAGCTGGCAACCCAGAAAGGTTGGTCTGCCCAGGCTCTAAGTGCCTCATGGTCACCCTTTCCTTGGTATATGCTTCTAAAGCACATGTCCTTTTCCTCTGGTTTGGTGTTCCGGCGGTTCGGCTAGTATGTCCTCCACTTAAGGACCTGGTCATTTGGTTCTTCAATCTCAGTTTCTGGTTCCGAATTTAGCCTTCCTGTAGTACCATCGAAGATCACTGCTACTTCCAACTCAGGACTTGCCAAAGGGTTTTTGGTTATTCTGGTTTCCTGAATTTATTGCGTCAAAGCTCTCATTCAAGATGGTGTGACCAAGGTTACAGATATTTAAGCCCAACTGATCATCAATAACCGTTAACCGTATCACAGGCCTAATTTTCAAAATCATCATCTGTGGGATTCAAACTCTAGACCTGCCGCTTGGGGATGCAGCAACCCCACTACTTTACTAGGTCGCCACACCCCCTGCATTAGAATTTTTATAATAGCTTATGATAAAATTTACTATACAATTTTAACTTTATACTGTATATTACTAAATAATGAGTAAATTATATAACAGAGTTTTTTATATTACTATATCTTATAATAATTCTAATGCAAATTATTTTTTACAAAAACTTATCTCATTGATTCTAATACAAACCAACTAAACCTTAACTACATGCTATATACCCAAAATAGTAAGTTTTGTACTAATTTTTTATAGTAAAAATTATAATAATTCTAATACAAACTAATTTATTTTATACTGTATATTACTAGAAGTATATAAAGAATTTTTTACAATAACTCATAATAAAAATTACAATAGTTTTATTTTAAACCTTAATTATATACTGTATATTATCAAAGTAAAGAGTTAATTTCTATACCAATTGTTTATAGCAACTTATAACAGAAATCATAATAATTCTATTGCAAACATATAGTGTGCTATTATAACAAAGTTTTTTATAGTAACTTATAAAAAAATTATCTAAATACAAACTAACTTAATTATATATATTTTTTTTTAAATTTTAGAAGTCTTGCCTTCACTTTATTAAGCTTTATAATAATTTTTTAAACTATTAAAACTTTTATAAGTATTATTCTCTTTGGTATCTAAATTACAAGTAATAACTCACCTGGTTGCTCAACTGCACTAGGATGAAGGTGAGATTTTCTGCATCTCGTAACAAATCGATCTCTGATCTATCTTGAATCGAAGTTGGTATTATACAATACTTGTAATAATGTACTACATATATAATTAATCTAAACCAATTCTCTTTATACCAAACCTCTTGAATTTTGGATGCAGAGATTGTACCTATCAAAAAAATCTCTACCTAGATATTATTAAATTACCCGGTTATCTAGGTAATTTATTATAGTTATATAATAAAATATCTACCTGAGCACAATCTTATTCATATGATAACTCATAATACAAGTTAATAATTCAAATAAAAACTAATTTGATCTTAATCTCATACTGTAATTATTAGAATAGCAAGCAAGTTCTATATGGAAATTTTTTTATAGTAACTCACGATAGAGATTGAAATAATGTCAATAGAAACTTATATGATGAATAGTATATTACTGGA